TTAATGCAGATTTATTTTATTGGAGATTTTATATGGATACTCTGGGACTCCAGTGCTGAAAGTAAAAAATAAGTAGGGTTTCCCCTGAATATTCATACCAGACCCTAATCCAGGCAGTGAAATCTCCTGGCAGGGCAGTCATTGACTAAAATAAAAGACAGTAATTAGACTAAAATGAAGATCCTTATCCTTGTGTTAAAGCTTTGTGAGCTGAGCCCAAAAGTCAATAAAAACGATAACCCTGTTTAGGGTCTGATAGAAATATTAATGTGGGGCCCAGTGCTGAAAATAGAAAAGTAGGGCTCCCCATAAATATTCATACCAGTCCCTAATCCAGACAGCGGAGCCCCTTGGTAGAGCACCACGTCTCCATGTTGACAAGGGCCTCTTCAATGTATCTTTGTCCGGTGGGTGTGGTGGTCTGCGGGGGTCTTATAAGAATCTTGAAGCTCACTTTAAAATAAGGGGGCCCTAGTGGATTTTGCCTGTGTGAATGAGTAAGGGGTACATAGTGTTTATATCCAGGGGCGGACTGACAACTCATGGGGCAATAGGGGATCATGGGGCCCCTGTGTCCTTGCCCAAACTCAAAAAAATCCTATGAAAAAGGTACCAGGGGCATCTCATGGGGCCCCCTACTGACCCCGGGCCCTTGGGCAGCACCCGAGTTTCCAAATGGTTAGTCCACCCCTGTGTATATCTATGTACATTGTACTCTTTAGTCACAGAAAACAATGACAATGCAAATAAACACATACCCATTTGACCATTCTTAAAATCATTAATCACACTGTCCAGTGATGTATATATATTGCCATTCACAAAGAATAATGCTCGCTGACCCACCTAAACAAAAACACCAACCTGTCTACTCCCGGTGTACTCCTGGTCACAAGTTACAGATTCAAGGGCATCTTGATTGTGAACAAAGGGGCATGAATGCTAACTAATTGTCTTCCAGAATTCCTGCCCATTGGTTTACATTCAAATGCTGATTTGGAATCTCCCATCTGGAAAATTAATTGGGTTTCTTAGCAAACAGGAGCCCTGAGTGAAAGCTGCCATTAATAGCAGCAGTAGTAGTGTTGCTGCTAAAAGTATGACTTCTAGCTGCAGGCAAATACCCTACATCCTACATTAATCCTACATTGATACATCCAAATCCTACATTGATCCAAACCTGAACCGTATTCCTAATTCCCACATGTGATGCTGATGATTGAAAGAATTTAAATCCCATAAATGAAAGGAATGGGCCAAGGACAGTTAGACTGGGGTGAAAAGACTAAATGATACTGGACATCCTCCAGCCAGTAAATGAGTTAGGCTCCATCTGACTTGCTGTTGCATCTAATGCACACTGTGAAGAGCTCACAATTTGCAGTTAGATCAGAGTAAGCAACTTTAGTACATGAGGGGAGCCTGTAAAACTGTTCAAGACTGAACATAAAGATGGATTTCAGATTAACTCCTATTTACCCTTAACTTTTGCTGATTTTTTTTGTTTCTTTTTTTCTAACCACTAATTTTTAAAATTTTTTGTTTTAATTTGTTTTGTTAGTTAATGTTTAATGTTCTAGTAAAATAATACAAAATTGAAAAGGCCTATTTAAAATGAGTGTAAGTTATAGCATAGAAGCTTCATCTTTTTTTTTAGATATACACTTTTTTTTTTGCTAACACTAATCAAAGTAGGAAAAAAAGATTTTTTTTAGTTGTGTTAGCTTTGTGAATTAAACAAATATTTTTTTTTATATTACAAAATAAATAAATTATATATATATATATATATATATATATATATATATATATATATACTGTATATACAGATTTGTCTATATACTACAAAATACTTCCACAAATGCGGGCCATTGATTGCAAACAAGATTTGTTAATTTGCACACTCAAACAAGTATTTTTCCTAGCATATTCATTCAAGACCATGTTGAAAAAATGAATACACCCCAAAGAAAGTCTTAAAAGCAAAGCTAAATTTTCAACAACAAAATCCTAATTAACAAAAATTCAGCTACATATGAGTCTAATTATTCATAAAGCAGGTGTCCAGCAGACAGTTGATTATAAAAGGGCATTACATAAAAAAGAAAACCCCTTCCCATTTCATGCTGTCAGAAATGACACCCCATGGAAGAGAAATGTCATGAGGCCTGAGAAAGAAAATAATTTCTTTACACAAGAAAGGTGAAGGCTACAAGAAGATTAGCAAAGCTTTACTTATCAGTCAGAATGCTGTAGCAAAACTGATACAAAAATTTAACAAAGATGGAAATGCAACCATCTCAGGCCTCCATGGAAGTTAACACCTCGACAGGAGCATCTTCTGAGAAGAGTTGAAGAAAATCACCATGAAAGTTCACAGCAGATAGCTAAAGAAGAAGAAAGCCAAACTGGGGTGACACAATGGGGTTTATTTACTAAACCTGGTTGACTCAGAATCTTGTCCACTTCTGCATAAAAACCAATCAGCTTCCAGGTTTTATTGCTGAAGCTTAACTGAACATGCTAAGGTTAGAAGCTGATTGGCTACCATGCACAGGTGCCCAAGATTCTGAGTCAACCAGTTTTAGTAAATCTCCTATAATATGTCACTGCAAATGAATGGCATACATGGGTGTCGTCCATGAAGGAAGCCTCTCCTAAAGCCCATGCACAAAAAAGCCCACCTAGAATTTGCCAGGGCCCATACTGAAAAAGAAGAAGACTACTGGGACTCTGTACTGCGGAGTGATGAGACTAATATAAATGTTTTTGGAACTGATGGCTTCAAAAATGTATGGCATCGCAAAGGTGAGGAGTACAAAGAAAAATGCATGGTGCCTACAGTGAAACATGGTGGTGGCAGTGTCCTTCTGTGGGGCTACATGAGGGCTGCTTATGTCAGGGGAGCTGCATTTCATTGATGGTATCATGAATTCATAGATGTGCTGCTCTATATCTATATTGTGCACTTTTCCAACATGTGACAATGATCAAAAACAAACATCTAAGGCTGTTGCATTTCTGAAGAAGAAAAGGGTAAAAGTGATTCTGTGGCCAAGTATGTCTTCTGATCTAAAACCAATCAAACACCTATGGGGAATTCTGAAAAGAAAAGTTGAACATCACTCTCCATCCAGCATCCAGGCTCTAAAAGAGGTTGTTCTTGAAGAATGGAAAAAGATAGATGTAGCAATATGTCGCCAACTTATTCATTCCATGCCTAGAAGACTTGGTGCTGTCATTGCAAATCATGGAGGTCATACAAAACACTAGATATAGTAGTTTTTGTTGTGGGGTGTATTCATTTTTGCATGAACTAATTTGAGTAAAACTGAATATTTTGTAATCTAAATTATATTATTAACATTACTTTCATGTAATGAGCTAAACAAATGTTCTATAAAACTCAGTTTTGTCAAAATTTTGAAAATTGTTCTTGTGTTCATTGAGATATTGATTAAAATCTCTCAAAAAATAATCTCTCAAAAAATTGATTAAAATGTGGTACGGCATAGCGCATGTGATTCGCACAGGAACCATACAGCATTCCTGTGCAAATCACATGCAAATTCTGTGCGGTGAGATTTGAGCCATACATTTTGTCTGGCTCAAATCGCACCACAGTCGGATTGCTTTTGTATTCACACCTATGTGATCCGATTCTGCACATCGCACCGCGTTTTGTGGGCCAATTTCGGGGTGTTGTTAATTTAACATACACATCCGCAGCGGTTCGCATGAATGGGGTGCGATTGTGATGCGGTGTAGAATTCACACAGAAACCGCTGCGAATTCCGCACTGCATCAGTGTGAACCCAGGCGTAAACTCTATTACCTGTCAGTACAGTGTTCATCCACATTTTTTTCAGACAAAATTAACATTGCTAGATGTTCCCTATGACATTGTAAATCACCAGTTCTTGACTTTAGTTCCACTTCAAAAATAATGTAAAGATACAATATAAACGTAGCAACCTAATACTGTTATTTCATATTAATTATTGTCAGTTATTATATACATTTTAACCTTTTTTTCCCCTTGACAATTATTTGTGAAATATGTTTGTTGTATTTTCATTTTTTAACATTTTGAAACATTTTTCCATCTTAACCATTATTCTTCCTTTTATGGTTTACTGTATTCTATAAACTCCTATTTTACTCCTCTTCATTTATCATCCCAGATGTTTCTGAGAATGTACTCGTGTATAATTTATTGACACAGAATGCCATAATGTTCAAAGAGGTCTTTTTATTTTCGTCACATTTTGTGCTTTTCCAAGTCTGTGTTTAAAGCTGAACTCCAGGAAAACAGATTTAAACACAGATGAAATACGTATATGAAAGCTGTTTTATAGTGCATCCAAAAACCTCTGCCACACAACACAGCCCTGTTGGGCATGGCAAAAGCAGTTAAGTATTACTTACTGCTCTGATCACTCCTTCAACCTGTGGATGGACAGTGAAAGGATTTGAAGCACACTGATGAGGTCATCTGTCTGCCACTCTGCTCTCTCCTCCTATTAGCATGTTCCTTGTTAACTTATGAGCCCTGCAGCATAACTGGTTGATTCCTTGTATTGCTTCTCTTTTTCAAAATGAGTTTAGCTAAACACTGTACTGCAAGAAGCTAATACCAAGTCAAATAAAATGATTGCAAATAACCACTTGCCCTCCAGAGGATTTACCGTATTTTCCGGCGTATAAGATGACTTTTTTTACTTAAAAACATACCCCAACAATAGGGGGTCATCTTATATGCCGGGTATAGAACCGCTGGATGTGCCGTAATACTGTACGGTAGCTTCAGCTACATACAGTGTACCACGCTGAGCCAATCACGGCGAACAATGTATTTTATTAATGAATACAGAGCCTGCTCGGATTGGCTGAAGTTGTGACATCATCAGCCCGCCTCTCTGACACAGCCAATCCGAGCAGGCTCTGTATTCATTAATAGAATACATCACTTGCCGTGATTGGCTCATATGACGTCCTCCATTCTCTGTGCATGCGCGGCGATGCGCTGTGTCTGAGGATCCCCGATTACGGAAAGAGCCGAAGATGTCGGCTCAGTCATGTGATCAGCTGTGTCCAATCACAGCTGATCACATGTAAACAGGGAAATGCCGGTTATCGGCATTTCTCTCCTCTCGAGCTGTCACGCTGACAGAGGAGAGCCGGTAATAGGCATTCCTCAGAGGGGACATGTACACTGATCATCAGGGCACTGATGATCAGTGTAGCCCCAGCAGTGCCAGCCTCCCAGTGTCCATCAGTGCCACATCAATGCCACATATCAGTGCCTACCAGTGCACATCAATGCCACATATCAGTGCCCATCTGAGCTGCCTTTCAGTGTCACCCATCAGTGCCAGTCAGTACCACCTATCAATGCCAATCAGTGCCACCTATCAGTGCTGCCAATCAGTGCCACCTATCAGTGCGCATAAGTGGCGCCTATCAGTGCCAGTCAGTGCCGCCTATCAGTGCGCATCAGTGGCGCCTATCAGTGCCAGTCAGTGCCGCCTATCAGTGCGCATCAGTGCTGCCTATCAGTGCCACCTATCAGTGCCAGTAAGTGCCACCTATCAGTCCCAGTCAGTGCCACCTAACAGTGCCAGTCAGTGCTGCCTATCGGTGCCATATATCAGTGCCATGTATCAGTGCTGCCTTTCAGTGCCCATCATGATGCCTGTCAATGCCCATCAGTGCCACCTACCAGTGCCTCCTCATCCGTGCCCATCAGTGCCACCTATTTCATATGGGTACAGTGTTGCATGACCACGCAATTGTCATTCAAAGTGTGACAGCGCTGAAAGCTGAAAATTGGCCTAGGGGGGAAGTGGGTATAAGTGCCCTGTAGGCTAGGGGTTAAATGGTGTTGCCTCAGAAGGGGGGTAGTCTTATACGACGAGTATAGCCCAAAACCTATGTTTTAACTGGAAAATTAGGGGGTCGTCTTATACACCCAGTCGCCTTATACGCCGGAAAATATGGTACCCCCCTTCCTGACCAGGCCATTTTTTGCGTTACGGCACTGAGTAATTTTAACTGACAATTGTGCGGTCATGCAATGCCGCACCCAGAATAAATTTACATCCTTTTTTTCCACAAATTGAGCTTTCTTTTGGTGGTATTTGATCGGCTGAACGTTTTGCAATTAAACATGTCCAGTAAAAGATTAAAAAAATCAAATTTTGTCATAAATTTAGGCTAAAATGTATTCTGCTACATGTCTTTGCTAAAAAAAAATCCCAATATGTGTAAATTAATTGGTTTATGTGAAAGTTATAGCGTTTACAAATGGCTGTATAGATACTGGGATTTTTTTTTTCTACTAGTAATGGCGGCAATCAGGGACTGCCGTGGGCATTATGACACTGGGGGGGAACTAACTTGGTGTCACTGACATCCCCAGTGAAACCAATACAGTGATCAGTGCTAAAAATACACAGCCATCCCGAGCAGTGTGCCCGAGCTGACAGGGAGGAAGACTGTTTGTAAGCAAAACAGTCTTCTTCCCTGTCGCTGATTGTCGGTAATCACCGGGCGCTGGTGGTTAATCACCGGGCAGGACCCGGTGATTGACATCCACGGCCGCGAATGGCGGCAAGGGTATGGCACTTGCACTTCTCTCACGTGCCCCCTACCCAGGAATGAAAATCACGTATATATACGTGATATTACGCACCCGTGCCACCTTGTAGCAGTATATCTGCTATTCGGCAGCAGGGAAACAGTAAAAACAACTTTTTGCTTTTAAAATAACAATAACAAGCATGTCATATTAACCTGCTCTGTGCAATGGTTTTGTACAGACCAGCTGTGACCCCTCTTTGCAGGTCCCCTGTCAGCTGCTTAGCCCCTCCGCCACACTACCTCCTCACTGTCTGTGATTGACAGCAGCAGTATCCAATAGAATGCATTAAAGCGGACTTCCAATTGAATAAAAAAAATAAAAGTCAGCAGCTACAAAAACTAATACAGACACTTACCCATCCCTCAGTCCAGCGGTGTCCTCACCACGGCATGTTTCACTGGTCGTCTTCTCTCCTCGGCGCCAGCATCCTTAGTGTGGGCACCCGGCTGTGACAGCTTGTGGCTTCACAGTTGGGTGCCCACTGCGAATGCTCGAGTAGCGTTGCGCTTTGTGAATGGTCCCGTAGACATTTGACAGGTTTCAGAAGACTAGGGGAGGGAGGGGGAGAACAACTTCCATTTCTGATCGCCTTAGGTGATCGCAGCAGAAGTAGGAGTGGGTACCTGTGAAATTCGGGTACCCACTCCCCAAAGGTGCCAATCCTTAAGGGGAGCGGGGGACAAAGCATTAAAGCGGAACTTCCCCTTTTGAGTGGAGCTCTGCTTTAAGGTAAAAAAACTTCTTTCTTCAGATCCACTTTAAGGTACTTGTAGATGTAAACTCTAAAGCGGAGCTCCACCTAAAAGAGGAAGTTCTGTTTTAAGGCCTCATCCCACGCTCCCTGTTAAGAATTGGCACCTTTGCGGAGTGGGGGGTTACCCGCTTCCACTTTATCAGCGATCACCTGGGTGATCAGAAGCAGAAGTTGTCCTTCCTCCCTCTCTGTATTCTTCCAGGACATGTGAACAGTCCCAGAAGACTACAGGGCCATTCACAAGGTGCAGCGCTTCTCGCGAATGTGTAGTGGGCAACCGGCTGTGAAGCCACAAGTTGTCACAGCCCGGTGCCCACACTTAGGATGCCGTTTCTGGGGAGAGAGGAAGGCCAGTGTTCTCCTGCAATTTTTTCTATATTCTTCTCTCTATCCTCATAATGATGAAACGGACGATCACGTCTCTAGGGATGTCTGATGCTAATCCTGGCAGGCATCTTAACCTGTGTACTCTCCTAATTTTCAAAAGATCTAAGACTGGTCTGTCCATTATTGGGTTAAACACTCTCCTTATTTTTTCCCTAAGGTCCTCCTCATGCACATCTTCTGGTAAGCCTCGGACCCTTAGATTATTTCTTCTCTCTCTATTCTCTTGTTCCTCCAGCTTCCTCTGTTCCCTTCTCATCTCCTCTAACTGCTTCTCCAGACTAATGATCTGCCGGGCTTGTATCTCCATTTTCTCCTCTACTTCTTCTACCCTTGTTATCAATCATCCCAGATCCTTGTGAAATATCGCCATTTAATTTTTCATGGAAAGTTCTAATTTTGAGAACATTTCCACCATCTCTGTTCTTGTAGGAATGTGTGATATTGTTTTCTGTTGTTCCAAAACGTTTTGATTACGATTTCATTTTCGACAATTATAGATTTGTTGATCTCATTCCCTTCCCTTACTCCAGTTGATAATCTAGACTGCTCACCATTGTATTTCCTACCTCCTTCCTGTTGTTTCTCCATGCCTTGTATCTCTGGGCTTTTTTCTTGCAATGGCATATATTTCTTTATTGTACTAGTATTTGCGTTGGGTTGTGGGGTTTTACTCCCCCCCCCCCCTTTAGCAGATCTATTCTTCATATTGGCTCAACAGAAATTTTAACTCAGAGTTTAATATACAGTATTGTCAGATCAGAGAAAGGGAAAAAGAAAAAGTCACTCCTTTCCACTCCTCTCAAGAAACTTGTACAGTCCTAGACAACTTTAAAACTTTAAATATATATATATATATATATATATATATATATATATACATTATTTACATCGATACTTGGTCTCTGTACTCCTCATGTTCCTTGGTCTTCCAACCACCCAGCCCCACTATTCAGGTATACATTTACAAATACAGATAGCGGAGATAGTGGAAGTTTATATCTTCGGCTGTTGCCCACGGCAACTCACCATCACCATCCGAGGTTCCGGATCCCTCTGCCTCTATGTACCTCTCTGTCCCCCTCCCGAATAATGTCCTGAGGGGGGTCTGGGTGGTTATTAACAGTGTCTCATCCTCAGATATCTCCAGATATCTCCGGATCTCCTGAACTCACAGGCTGTCAGCCTATCTCTGGGCCGCTGGAGAGTCTATATGCAGGAACCCCGGGGTCCTTCAGGCACCTCTGCCTTCTACTTCTCTTCAGGGTCCTCTCCAAGGAGCATTTCAGCCCCACACTGCTTCAGCACCACCCTGCTCACCAGGCTCACCCCGCCGCTGTCCGCCACGTGGTCCTCACCAGTCCCACCAGTGCCTCTCAGACCCCCAACCAAAGCCACCGACCAGAGCAGGTAAGCTCATCTGGGTACCATCAGGGAAAGTTCGACACAGGTTTGATCTACATGGCAGGTATCAGGAGCTCCTGTGCTCAACAGCCTCCAGGCGTCATGTTCAATCCCCTCCCCCGCTGGCTGTTGATTGTTTTCTATGCAGAGCTGCACCAGATTTTACAGTCTCTAGTTTTAGTAAATCAATCCCATAATGTGGGCCTAAATAGTCATTTGTAGCCTCCATTGGTGTGGTATGACAGGGTGAAAACGCAGTACAACTGCATGCCTGGACATGTCTGAACAAGGACAGTCATGGCAGAATTACTAGGTATTACATTAAAGAGAAACTACACTGTATCTGAGCACCACAAACCAAAAGCACTATTTGATTAATTTTTAATATTCAAAGCAAACTCAGCCATCCATGTCTCCATGCTTTATTTTGCTGAGAAATCACTTAGAAAAACAGCCCCTAGCATTTCTGGCCGTGGCCATCTTGAGTAAAGGCAGATAATTACTTCCTGGAATCCATGTGCCCTTAGCTCAGGCATACAGACAAGATGGTGTTAGTTGATCCAGGGAATATCCAATTGCATCTCGGGAGATCAAGAAGGAATCTTTTTCCCCTGCGGGAACAAATTGCGTTGTGCTTTGCTGGGGTTTTTTTTGCCTTCTTCTGGATCAACTGTGGGTATAGGATTATACTTTTATTTTTTTTTACAGGTTGAACTAGATGGACTTTTGTCTTTTTTCAGCCAGACTAACTATGTAGGTATGTATGTATGTATGTGTGCTTAGCTGAGTAAACCCCTCCTTCTCTCCTGATGACTCCTGGAATGTATGACATCATTTGCCTAGGCATGGAAACTAGCAAGTAACTAAAAAAATGTAAAAAAAAATATTTAAAACAAGTAAATATGATATACTTGCCTATCCATTTGCTAATGCTAGCAGCATAAGGATTCAAAAGAGTCAGTGCTGATTAGGAGAGTGAAGTTCCACTTTAATAAAATGTGCATCTTTAAAAATATTAAACAAGGATTTTCAAATGACATTAACATGTTACAGTTTATACAAGTATTTAGTGATTGGGATTATATGCCCTTATATTGTTTCAAAACTCTATATGTTACACTATACAGTATATACTCACTTTTGTTAATACATTCCCAGTTACCAGTGAAATTGAGACCATTTAATTATTAAAAGTAACCAAAGACATGATATGACAGATGCACATTCTTGCCTTTTTTTCATAGAATACTCTTGGACATTAGCAGCTGAATGCTTCCTGGTGAAATGGTTAAATGGATAGTTACTCAAAAAATGGCAACCCTAAAGAAATGGAATTAAATGTCCAATGTGTCTGAGGGTATTTCTGATAATAAAATTACTATTATATTC